GTGTTGTATTTTCTTCGTAATTTACTAATGTCATAAACTGCGTTACAAACGGAATTGATATTTACATTTTCATTAGTCCTCCGAATTATCAGACCATCCATCGGTCCATTTAGGTCGGATAATCTGGAATATACTATACTGATTTTCCATACAACATCTTAAAAATATATGCCGAGAAATGACGAAAGCAAATTCGCGAAAAAGACACTTTAATACCATGTAGCAACAAGTCTTGTTTGAACACTATATCAGCCGTCACCAAACAGCATGCTTTATGGCCGCGGAAGCGGCTCCATGTTATCAGCACAGCGTTGCCACCTTTGCTACGTTGCGAGCTGCTAGCTGTCTTCACTCGCCTGTGCTCTGTTCGTTTTGCGACGCTGTACGATTCTGCTGTAACCTTTAACTAAGGAATTCGATGATGGCCATGGATATGGATATGGAAATTCTTCGCCGAGGCCGATTGCGCTGCGCTGCTTCGTTGGCCACCCCGATCACCTGAACTGACGCAATGTGATTTTTTTATGGGGGTACGTTAGGGGCCAAGTCTTTGTACGGAAATGGATTATCGGCATGACGTCTGCCGCGTCACAAAGAGCGGACACATACAGCATTTATGAGGTATGTAAAATAAACTTGGAGAGTTTCTCTTTCCATCGGCATGTCCTATGTTACCATCCATTGCGCCATTCAGGTCTAGCGATTTTTTTGTAATGTGTCAGGGAATTATGAATAAGTCTGTATTGTACTTTCGATACAATTTGCAGAGATGCTGCCGCAATATTTTGTATCTGTTGAACACACAAGCTTTATTCCGTCAACGTCGAAGGGTTAATAGTACCTACCGGCTATACTGACCGCTGTGATGTCCGACACTGACCTACCGCAATGTTGCGTGTAGCGCTTGTTACAATAGCGGCCTGTTCAGGTTAAAACTGCCAATGGAATTTTTTCTTGGACTATAAAGATGTAGGAGTACCAGATGTTAACATAATCATCAGATGTATGAGCAATTTTGTTGAAGTACAAAGCGAAGACACGCTTCGTTGCTATTTTAAAACGAACTGATGTAATTCTGAATTAAGGTAAAGCAATACAAGTAAATAACCGGAAGTCAAGCCATCAAAGCAAGACTTATGTTTGCAAAAATCTATCCATACAAGGCTGGATTTTTAGCACTTGCTGTCACGAAAACAAAGTTCCAAAATACGCTTCAGAAAAAACATGGCCTAAGATGCAGTCTGTTTTAATAAAACCACGATTTGAAGACTTGTCAAATGAAATGAAATGCAAGACTAACATCAAGTCAGTTGTCGTTTTTAAGTTTGTTTTAATTATTTATTATGAATTTTAAAGTGTTATTTCACGATATATGTTTATATTCTACCTAATTTCATAGTTCCATAGTGACGATTATATGTCCATAATTAGCAAAGTGTTTAACGTCATTTAAAAGTTAACTCGTGTTTTAATTTCACAGTAAATTACTTTCCTATTTTTATTTTGTTAATGAAATTAAAGTTCAAGCTTGGGTCGCGAAAACCAATATCACAATTACGGTAAGAAAAGTGAAGAACCACTGATCTGATAAACATACAGCCAATGAGCTATTCAGACTCATATAAAACATACTAATTCCGCGCAACCAGTTTCCATAACAAGAAAAACTTGCATGGAATGATGGGTAGATTTGACGTGTTTGTCATTACTATGTTGAACGCATCTGTCACACGTCGGAAATACTGAAAAGTAATAGACATGTTCGTTTCAAACAGTTCGTGAAGAGACAACTCATGTTTCCGACTTCCTCTACATGCACAAGGTTAACAAACTGCTTACATCAACTCGTGACGGCTTACTTGCCTGCGGGTACAGCAGGACACCCGCGTAAACAAGAACACCAATAAAAACAGTTTCAAGGAGGTTATGGTCAAAAACGTGAAAATAAAAAAATACCGCTCCCGCTGGCCTGAGGAGAGTTTTTTCGAGAAAATGGCGAGCAAAACATACTTTCAGTCATTCTCGTTATTTTAAAAGTTGATTTCAATATGTTGGCAGCACTTTTACCCTTATATTAAAAACAGAATATGCACATGAAAAAGCCGAAATGAGCATGAACGGATTGCAGAAAATCACACAAAAAAATCCTATCTAAGTTCTGACTATATTCCTACTGATTGCTTTTATATGGAAAGCGAACTTCACAAACTGTCCAGCAATAACATATAAAACTACAGGCGTACCTCGGAGATATTGCGGGTTAGGTTCCAGACCACCGCAATAAAGGGAGTCACACGAATTTTTTGGTTTTCCAGTGCATTCAAAAGTTATGTTTACACTATACTGTAGTCTATTAAGTGTGTAGTAGCATTATGTCTAAAAGAACAATGCGAGTACATTGCGAGAATTACCAAAATGTGACACAAAGATACGAAGTGAGCACATGCTGTTGGAAAAATGGCGCCGATAGACTTCATCGACGCAGGGTTGCCACAAACCTTCAATTTGTAAAAAGCGCAATAAAACGAGATATGGCTGTATATTTATACCCTTCATTACTGCGAGGAGGAAGGTCAACAATTTGTAGCTAGTCTCATGTTTTCGTGGTAGCTTGCGCTCACAGGATACAACGCATTTTAGATTTTAAGACGCTATCGACTGTAAGACGCTATCGATTGCAAGACGCTATCGATTGTATGACGCTATCGATTTTATGACGCGTCCTTGATTTAGTAATAGGTTTTCAGAGACAATTTTTAAAACGGAAATCATATACAGTAGATTCCGGTTAATTGGGTCATCGGTCCCAATTAACCGGAATCCACTGTACATATAAATAGTAATACAAAATGCAGATTTAATTATTTTTTAAAGTAGGTGGCACATACAGTTACCACAGGGCTCTGAAGAATTTAAAGATATAATCCACTACAACAGCAATGGCGTGTTCATCTGGATATGACAGAAACTTAAAACTCATCTGAAATTAGGTTATAACCGACCACGAGGAAAACGATACACACTGGTAAATCGAAGAAGCGATATCCAGGGAAATGATGTGAATCGAACAGTATGAGTTATGAACTGGGTCAAATGCGCTCTCTTGTCCAACCAACTGATCCAAATTTTCTGAATACTGCATAAAGAAGTTGCCATCTGGCTGCAGCGTGTTATGCAAACACTCTTGGTGTCAATTATGAAAATCTACAGACCAGCCCACCGCCAATCACGCCATGCGTAACCTTCATCTTCAAGGTCGTACGCGTCCAAACTCCAGAAGGAAGGCGTTTATTGACTACAGGGAAATCTACCAATGGAAGCACGCAGCCGCCACTTATACACACACTCCTATTACAATGACCCCCCCCCCCCCCCCCAAATCTCTGCTATCTCGATAGGCAGACAGCCATCACCAAGTTTTTTACTGCCCGTCTTAAAACCACGCGGCTATTATTAACCTCATATCGTGAAGGAAATCAGTTTTACAAGACAGAGGTTGCAGACATGGATCGTTTGTTTAGGATCCAGCTGTGAATGTAAAATGTTGGACCCCCAGACCGGAATTTCAGCCCGCTTGTATGCACTAAACCTGGCTAGCTATATCAACACACGACTCGGTCTTTATTTGTGGTGGAAGGAATGTTTGCAGTGAGATATGTAAGAAAATACAGCGAATATACAGAATCCACTCTGCCGATGTTTTGGAAACCTACCACCCTCCGTCAGAACAGAAATTCGGGACACCCCAGATGATCGTCAGAACCTAAAGTTCCTATTCTGACGTACAATGGCTGTTCTTTGGTTTGTATACGTTTGCCGAAACGAACAACGGATTGCGATGTAATCTACTTGGCCATTAAAAACGTTGTGGGGTGAATTCAATAAATTTTGATCCACGTCGGTTCAATTTTAGGAGACTAGGCTGAGAGTGGGCAATCGGGATTCGATTCTCGGCAGAGGCAAGATGTTTCTCTTAGCTACCTAGTTTGGACCAGCTCTGGGGCCCACCCAGATTAATTTACGTTATTGGTTGAACGTAACTACCAATTTACGTGAAACTGAGAGACTGATATCTTCCGAATTACTACACGAGAAACACTGGATTTAAGTAACAAAAAACATTTATATGATCAGGAAAGCTCACATTACACCAAATTTGTACCACGTGCAACACACCAACTAAAGGCTTAACCACCGAATAATGTTTATTCGTCGACAGTAAAGAACGCACAACACGAGCTTAATAACCTACATTTTAAAAGTTTTTCTGCTGAATATTTGATAAACGGTTGTAAAAAAAGTCGTGTTTGTTTTCTGGTATTATAACAGCTGTGACTGGCATCTCTGGAAATCGTTTTGTGTTCTAGTTTATTAGACTAGACACATCGAGTGCGTGCGCACAAACTTCTAACGGAATTACAGATTTTCGCCTCGTTATGAATTCCATGCTACGCGTATCCAATGAGTTGCACGAGGCTTGTAAAATCAAACGAGATATGACGATTACACGTGGTGAAACGCTAAGTACATAGAGGAAGCAGTGTCATGCCGTATTTCGGTATAATACACCAATTAAAGCAATAAACAAAATTACGAAAAATCTCAACTGTCCGGTGCCGCGTCCGAGATATGAATAGTTTATCCAATACAGCTGTAATAACCTCAGTATTTCATTATAAATTTTATAAATGCGCTGAAGTTCAATGTATAACTTCGGTTTTCTGGGTTGATCGGCGTTGAATGTTGATAATTATCCTACGCTGCGGCAGGTGCTGCCATCTTCAGGCACCCATGCGCCAAGATTTTTTTTTGCAGATACCAATAAGACTACATAAGTTATGGCGCTGCCTATCCATCGGTAACGGAGCTCTTCCGCGGGCGATAATGCAACCGCAGCATGAGGCCACGTCAAGTAATCCCGTGTCAAGTGCACCCTTTCAAGACGTAGTGCAATCTATAACGCGGTTCAGATCAGATCAGATCAGTATCAGGGTACTTACTTCAGTGGATGTTGCAACTCGCCGCAGGGGCTACCGGCGCTAGTCGCACAACCATCCTGAAACAAACAAAAGAGAACTGAGTATCGCAACTCTTTTACAATTTTGTAAACAATACAAATTTACACACTTCATCTTGCAAGCACAATACAATTGAAACTGTCAGCATATTCATGATATGTATGTACGTATGTTGAGATGTCCATTTTCGTAATAACGTCGTGTAAGTACCACCATCTTCAGCCTTGAATATTGAGGTCGCACGTTCCTCCGAAACGTCATCTACTTACAAGTCAATACAGCGTCACTACCCACAAAACCAACATCCACAACATACATTTCCATAAGTCAGAGCCCTATCAGACGATATTTATGGAGACCTTTGATTATCGGCTGTAGGCCTATGGCCGAAACATGGAAGTGACAAATGCCTACTTCACAAGATGTACAAAAGCCCTTAAGGAACAAGCCTCGGTCATAAGATTATCGGTTTTTCTGGACGGAAAATGGAGACAATATTTCTGTGAAGCGTTAATATCTACCAACGACATCAAAACCCAGAACAAGAACCATTTAGGTGAATAAACAAACATGCTACCGGATGGAGAGTTAAGAGTTCTTTATTCGCTCATCGTGAAAAAAAGTTGAGGCCGAGGTTCTAGTAATCCTCCCTCGTACCACGGGAGGTTCAGAGCCAAAATCTCGGCCGGGAGGCTGAATATCCTGAGCGTCTTCGTCGCTTTTCTCAGACCTTCCATGCAAATTACGGGACAGTACCTCAGCCGCTTCCTTCCATATTGTTCCCAGTTAATTATTCACTAATCCAACTCAATCAACCAATAACTAAAAAAACACGTGATAAAAACGAGATCCATACAATGGGACATGTGTAAAATGACTACTGCTGTCGAGAATAGTACTTACTTACGGCATGCTTAATGCATTTCCAAGAAAGCACCTGCAAATTTGCATACCTCACTATTCCAGATGTGCATTTATTGCAGATATGACAAATATTTTGTAGACAAAGCCAATCAACAGTGTAAGGAATGCACTGCGAAGTCAAAGCTGACAGCAATGACCCGTTCTTTGTGCTGAACAGTATAGTCGGCGAAGTAGTTTTTGGCCGGTGGAGAAAGTGGCGGACGGGCCTACTCTGTGTACCTGAGGTGGCACGGTCAGCGTATTTCTTTTGTTTGGGCGTTCAGTCCGATAAGCTCCTTGGTGCAGTCAGCATTATACTACCGCAAAAGAGACTCGCTCCTAGCCTTCCCTTTGAAAATTCCACCGGCCAAAAACTACTGCGCCGACTATACCACAATTCATTGCAGCATTATCTCTGTAACTCACAAAAGAAGTATAAAATTTCTTCCTAAAACAAAACACATGCAAAAACGTCTTCCAGGCGACTGAAGCCACGTTCCTGCAAAACGCAGACCCCACTAGAGACTCCATCGCATTTATTGCTGCCAAAATCGTCACCGCTGGAACAGCGTTTCAGTTTTTTTCCTCGTCCAGTCGTGACGGGCATTGGCTATTATATTAACAGCAGCAGTAGATTGCTAATAAAGGCATTACACTGCAAAAAGGCTAGGAACGAAATCTTTGGTTTTCTTACATGTTTACGACATCAAAAAGAATGGAATTCCGTTTCAGGTTTGCGCGATATACGGATTATATCGGAGCGGTACGGACCAAAATGAAATTATTCCAATCATTTTCAATGTTGACAAGCAACAGTAATTTAATCGAAATCGGACGAGTTGTTTTGGAGATTAAAAAACGTGGGCAGGCAGAAAAATAAAACGTGTCCGTTTCATGAATTTCTGTTAAACAGTGCAAAGGCTTTATAAAAAAGTTTTAACAACCCGTTCTGTGCGCAACGGGAATGCTAATCTCGAAAAACGTATTTCCTTCAGCGCCAGGTCGGTAATGCTATGAGCTACTTTTCTTGGAATATTACGTGGCCTTGAAAATAAATAGCAAGTAAAAACGAATTCAAAGGCGAAGTTAAGTTAAATATGGTAAAAAATAAACGTCACGCTTCCCGTGATGCCGTGAGGTTAGTACGTCTTTTTTATTATTATTTTAACTGGAAGCAGATTACACTGCAGATCAGTTAATGACCTCTTAGCGATCTCATTTGTACCACGTACAGTGTAAGTTGTATTAGTGATTTTAATATGAGACGGCGAAAAGTAAAAATGAAGTACTGGTGCAGAGGGGGGACAGAAGTGAGGGGGGAGTATGAGAAGCAAAGCGAAACTGATTGTTAATGAGACCGTGTGATGGCAGTCTGCTGACAGGGAGAAAGTGATTTATGGACGGATTTTCATGAGCCGAGCGAAGCAAGCAATGTGAACACGGCAGCTTCCATACATTCGGGTCGGTTGGTTACGGGGAAAACCCCGAAAGCATTTGATCCGCAGCGCCATATTCCTTTCGTTACACAAAACAAAAAAATTATAACAACGCTGTATTCATTAAAAAATAGTTCCTCATAGGGTGTTGTAATGCAACCAAGACACCAGTAAGTATAATGACTAGGCTACTGGCTGGACGACTTGGGTCGGATTCCCGGTAGAAGCAGGGACTTTCTTGGTTCAGAACCCATACAACCTATCTATCTTCGGGGTTAACGAGGCCGGAGCGCGAAACTGAACCCTCACCTCCATATAGAACCAACGTTTCAAGTTCTAAACTCTCCATGTCTTCAGGGCGTGGTGGTTAGCACGGCAACAACTTTACCTTCTAAGCTGCCATAATACACTAAACACAAGTTGCCCAGACAAAATATAATTACTTCATAACACAAAGTAATAACCTTTTTTGTCAACTGATATCCCTCTATGAACACACTGCTGTCGGTCATAAGGCGTTAAAACTGAACACCTAAGAAAATTACAATATATATAATACACAAAAATTAAATCTCGACAGTCCAAACAAATATCGAAGACCAGCCTTTATGAAGCACAACAAACAAACTTGGAAGGAGGATCTTGTTGTTACGATGAGATGTGACTGTCTCTGTGGCAGTGCGGTCGCTAATGGACCCATTATCTATCCCCCAGATGGCACACGAGTAAATATGGAGCAACAGTGAAATAATAATGACAGGAGGAAACACAAGGACTCGGAGGAAACTTATCCAGGTGTCACCTTCCACCACAAATCCCACGTGGGTTGTCCTGGAAGCGAAATCGGGCCTCCGCTGTGAGTAGCCGGCAACTAACCGCCTGTATTATGGCGGGGGCTTGAAAGAATGTATGCTGCATAGTAACAGGAAATAACAGGTTCAAGCCCGGATAGCTCAGCCAGCAGCTACTCACTGGCTGCGGGTGTGAACGACCTGGATTCCGTTTATGGCAGGTACGGGCATCCTTCTCTTTGCCCTACTTCGACCTACTCAGTCCCATCTAAGTGGGAACCGGGAACTCTTTTGCCGGAAGTAGGACACCCATCTCCATCTAGTGTCGAGATTAAGAATGCCTGGAGCTATACACACACTTTACCATACATCTTCATAAAGTGGTGAACACAGAAACAATTTTCATTCATTTTTTTTTAAGAGAAGAGAATCGAAAACAAATATAAATTGTTACTAAAAATAGCATAGAGCCCTTTGCAAGACGCTTCACACTGTTAGGGCGGCCGCACACCAACTGCGTCAAGACAAGCATCAAGACATGAGACAAAAGACGCAGTCTTGCTTCATTCGTGATTCAGACTCGAGTCCGCGCACCGAAGTAGCACGTGTCTGCGTCTTATCATATCTTCTCTAGTTGATTCTTGGAACGGCTATAGCGTGTAAACCTAATAAAACAGACAATATAATACGGGCAATCTGTGTCCATAACTTCATCAGGTTAAGGACGGCTTATTTAGCGAGCAGAGTCTGGGTGAAGATGATGATGACCATGACAAAGGCAGTTGTGAATCTATATTCCAGCCCTGCTGCAGAAGAGCAACTACTGAGGCCGTTGAAATGAAGAACCATTTGAGTTCTTACTTTTTGAAACCAAACGTAGCTCTTCATTGGCAGAACAAGTACACTTTAACATAAATCTTTTCGTTTTATGTGTGAGTGAGAGCAGACTTGTACGAAACGAGCTTAAGCTCAATGTGCATAATAGTTAATTCAGTCATTAGCTCATTAAAATAAAATTAATCAGTGCATTTATCATCTATATTTACTTCTTTTGAAACTGCATGCCAAGCTTTATCAACCTCCTCCTTGTTTGAGTGGCCCGGGGTCGAATAATCGTATATTACCGGGAATTTCTCAACCTTCTGCACTATCTTAATGTTTGTTTACTCTTCACTCATGTCGATAACTTACACTGGCGCTGTCACTTGAGTACTGATATCTCAGTCCTGACGCACAGAAAAGCAACATGCCGAGTCTCGCTGCACGTGTCTGCAGCATGAAGCTGACGTCAGCATCGTGACTCAGACCGGTGTGCGGCGGTTTTCATAATCTCATTCGTTTCAACTGTGCTCCTTCCTTTGCGTCATGTCGCAGACATCGTGTCTTGACTGTTACATGCCTTGACGCATGCCGGTGTGCGGCCTACCTTAGGTACTATCAGATCGACTCGGTATAGGCGTAGTATGTAAAAAGTTATAGTGAATTTGACGTAAATACGTCTTTACGGAAAGGAAGTTTATGTATTGGCTTTATTCTAAATATTTATTTCATACATGCTTTACAATTGAGTAAAGTTTGATTAAGACATTGCTTATTTAACCTGAATTAGTTACGCTTAAGATGGGTCTGTGGTAGCTGAAATATGTTATAAAATTTGTGCACTTTAGAGTACCAACATTTCGTGAAAACACCATATCTTTACAAGATTTTGATCTAGTAGTACTACATTGAGGATTTGACATCAACATTAAGCCAAACGTTTCCTCCATAAATGTGACAGAGCTTTGATTTTCCTCCTTCTTTAAATCAATGTTAAAATCTCCTGTCAGTATTATAGGCATTGTATTAGGATCTTCAGTGGCCATAACTGAAAACATCTTTTTATAGTTTCTCAAATGACTCAAAATA